CTCAAATACAAGGTCCCTAGACAACTACAAGTAGAGTTAACCCAACTATATAGGTTATGGTGATATTTTATTTGTATTAAAATGTTATTTGTAGGTTAATAAATAAAGTTGCCTGGGGGTCAGAGCTATTAGCAAGCCATAGGAAAGCAGGGCAGTGGCAGCATACGCTTGTAATCTCAGCACTTGGTAGGCAGAGCTGGGTAAGTCTCTGTGTGTTCAGGGATACAGCCATTATTGGATACACATGCCTTTAATCAATACCAATCATGGAAAACCTGGAGGCCTATACAGACAGGCCGTGAGGAGGCAGTCATGTGGTTGGGTTTACAACCAATGAGAAGGCAGAACAGGAACTCTATATAAAGACTTTAACACAGGGGTAGCTCTGGTTCGGAGAGGTAGGACCACCGCAGGAGGAAGGGTAAGGTTTTAGCTCTTAGCTCTGACCTCTTGGCTTTCTTCTTTGCATTGGTTCTGTGTTTCTTATTTAATAAGAAGGTTGGTTACATCTACAATAGGTAGCATGGGTAACTATCATACCTGCATCCGCAGTGAGAAACTCAGGTGACAGCTGCACATGAGTCTGTAATCATAGCTACTGCAGAAGTAAGAAGTCCAGACCCTGCCTGGACTATGGAGTGAGATCAAAACCAGCTAGATAACAAGCTTAGTGATCCTGTCTCCCAGGTTCAATCCCAGTACTCATCACCCTAAGTAATATGGCAGTGACAGTGTTAGTAATGATCAAGCCAGGAGTAGTTTGCTGAAGGAAACTGAACAAGAGGGTCTTGTCCTTCTTTTCTTTTTTCTTTTCTTTCCCCCCCCTCCCCCGGAGCTGAGGACTGAACCTGGGGCCTTGCGCCTAGCAAGCGCTCTACCACTGAGCTAAACCCCAACCCCTTGTCCTTCTTTTCATTAGAGGTACACTCTTAGGTGACTGTCTAAATCCCCACACTTTTATTCCAGCTCCAGTCTTCTCCTTGCTCCAAGTTCCTTATCATAAATACATTCAGAACCAAACTACCTGCATCTCCCATGTTTGCCCTCTTGTCACTCTTGTTCTTAATTACTACCTGCCCAGTCACAGAAGGTGGTCACCACCATCCCATCAGCCCAAGCTCCTCTTCATCCCTGCTACACTTCCATCCAAACCTCAGCCCCACTCACCTAGGACGTCAGTTACCCAATCATCCTCCACAGTACTTCTCTCTGTCTTCTATTTCCTACCACACCGACAAAATCATCTGTCTAAACGTACACATTTGTCTTTGAACGTATGGCAATCATACCATCTCCTCCCCTCAAGGTGTAAAACAACACTTACAAGTATGACACATGAAAGATACCACTCCTCAAAAGACTTCTTTATTGCCCAGAAGAGAAAGTTTATCTCCTAAGTTTCATACAAACAATCTAATTTGCCACTTGGGCCTTATTTTCTGTCACCAGCCCTATATCTTCTATTTTCTAGATGCATATAATTTCTTGCCGCAAGTGATTAATGCTTGAGGGGTGTGGATGAAATGAAGGATTTTGCATATATGAGGCATCACTGCTGTAAGCCACAGGAAAACAGCTACTATCACAAAAGCTGCTACTTGGATAAGTCAAGGAAGGTCAAGCCATGGCTTAAGAAGTCTTAGTGATATTTTAGCTTTTGTATACATATTAGCCGATAACTGTAATGATTTCCTTGTAAGCTATGTACACTTCCAAGAAGTCATAACAGTGTATTTTATCTGAAATATCTATCAAGCATCCAAGGCTAAACAATCTCCTGAATTGAGGTACATTAAGCTCAGACCCTCCTTTCTTATACAGCCTTAGTGGTATTTATACTAACATTATAGACTCCTAACATTTACCTAACCACACCTAGAAATGTTGTTTGAGCATATAAATTCCCTTTTTCTGATATATTAACCGATTTTAGCTCTTAGTGGACCACCTCCTTTACCACTCCCCTTTTGGGTTGTAAAAGAAAGCCTGACGGTTACTACCTAAGGAAAACTCTTGTCTGTCTTTATGACCCTGTAAGAATTCAAGCCTGGTGACCTTGCTTTAGCTAGAGCACTGCTATTGTATGAGTATATAACTGTAAACCTCAGACATAGAGAGGATTTTTTGAGGATTTTGACTGGAGAGAACTTTGACTAGAGAACTAGAACAATGAGATGAAAGATGAGGAAGAGCTAGATGGGGAAAAACAAGATGAGAAAGACCAAGACGGGGCAGAACTAAGATGAGAGAATTAAGATAGAACTTAGAAGGGCCAGCAGATAAAGGTAGAGAGAAATCAGGCAAGAAAGGAGATAGGCACGAGAACAGAACTGAAGCTGTGTAGACAGGATTTTATCCCAGAGGAATAAAGTAGATGGACAAAGAGCTTGGTTCATTTCTAGAAAATAATTCTAGCCATTTGGAGCCTCTCTTCCGAGCCCCTGGAAGAAGATTTTTAAGGCTGGTCCTTAATAATATTTGAGACATTATCACTAAGATACATCACCAGCCCCTGATATTTTGCCTGTATTAGTGCATGGTGCTCTCAGTCTAGTAATGCATCCAGTAAATTTTATTCATCAAGAACAAGTTCAAATATCAGCAACTCCAATACCATTCATTCTGTGAACTCTTTCTAGTTTCCCAAGGCAAATTTCTTTATTCCTTCCTGGGTGCTCTAACACACTTTGTAACTATCTTCATGATATAGTACTTTTCAAATTACATCTTTGCTATCTCCCAACATAATTCATAGTTTACTGGATACTCTCAAGAAATGTTGATGACTAGATTGTATCACCTACCTTATTGTGAGCATCTGTATGCCGGATGACATTCCTCAGGAGGACTTTCCCCAATGGAACCCGTGACATTCTTTAATCTGAAATGAATCAATAATTTGTAATAAATTTTTTTTAACAGACAGCTTTTTTTTTTAAACTTTATTTTATGTGCATTGGTGTTTTGCCATGGGTGTCAGGTCCCCTGGAACTGGAGTTACAGACAGTTGTGAGCTGTCATGTGGGTGCTGGGAATTGAACCCAGGTCCTCTGGAAGAGCAGGCGGTGCTCTTAACCACTGAGCCATCTCTCCAGCCCCGTAATAAATTTATTTTTATTAAATTATAACGAAACAAAAGGTAAAGGGAAAAAAATAACTGAACTTAGAAGACACAGAACCTAAGGGAGAATTTTCCTTTCACTGTTAAGATGCACGACTACAGCAAATGAAGGGTGAGAGAGGATAATGTACAGTGAAAGTCTTTACAATTGCAGAAAGCCGCTCAAAATGGCTTCTATGAGCACCATTTTATTTAGTCCTTGTAAGTCTCTATGTTTTAAGAGTCAAGGAGTCCCTGAAGATCCATGGGGGGATTCGTTCCAGGGCCCCTAAAGGTAACAAAATCCATGGGTGGGCTGAGGATATAGTTCAATGATAGAGCATTTGCCTACACAATAGCCAACCAGGATTCAGTCCCCCTTTAACATATACATGCACACACACAAAATAATCCTAGGGTGCCCGTCTATCATTTAGAATAGTGTAGTATTTGCATATAAATTATGACTTTTTTTGGAGACAGGGTCTCAACTAGCCTCAGCTAGCCTTGATCCTCCACCTTCTAAGTTCAGAGACAACAGGCATGCACTTCCACACTTAGGGTAGGTGAGGGGATCTAGATTACTTGTCACACCCAAAACTATGCAAATCTTATGTAAATATGTTACTATGCAGATTAGAAATAATGACAGTAGGGGGAAAGGTATGTACGTAATAGGTATGGATGCAATCTGATTCCCCAAACATTTTCAGTGGGCTGTGGTTTGAACCTGTGGGGATCTCGGAGTTTGGGCTATATCCCCACTCCTGTTTTGAAAATAAAGATCCTTAAAGTCATAATTCGCCCCCAGGCCGAAGAGATCCAGGCAAAGGATTGTATGTCAGTGTCTAGGTTGGAAATCAAATCTCAGACTCCCCAAAATTAGCTTGCAACTAAGTAAACATCTAGATTTGCAGGTATCAACATCACATATGTCAACAGTAATAAAAACAGTTCTAAAAATTTGTTAGATGACCTAAATATCTCTATTCAGGACATTTTGTTTCCTACATCGTTTGGAACTTTCCAAAACCCAGAAAACAACGATATTCACATGTGCAGCTACCAGGGGCTTGGTGCCACCGTCCCGATGCTCACTCACCCCTCAATCCTGAGGAAATCAGGCATCTTGTTAGTGTGAGACGAAGAACCACTCCATTACAAGATCTCCTCCGACCCAGGAAGCCAAGGAGTCAGGGCTGAAAGGCAGCTCTGCAGCTTCACCCGAGTCCTTCGTGAAAACGCAGCCTTCCCACCGGTTACAGTGCCCTCCTCACCCGAGGCCCAGGCTACGGCTGCCTTCCCCCAGCCGAGCCCGCCCGGCGGCTCTCTCTCCGGGACCCAGGCCAGAGCGGGCGCAGGCGCGGAACGCGGCCTGCGGGCGGACCCGGGCGGGCATGCCCCGCTCGCGCTGGGCTGGGACGGCGCCCGGCGGCTCGGTTTCACTCCCGGGACAGAATGGGGACACGGGGCATGGGTATGGCCTTCCGTTGGGACCCGGGAAGCGTCTAGGGTGCCTGAGGGGGAGCTTGAGGTTTCCAAGGGGAAGTCGGACAGAACACCCCCATGTCTGTCAGCGGGCGCCCTGCCCCGCCGCGGCCTTGGCGCTCCCGGCAGCCTTCCCTCCAAACGCCCTCCCCACACAAACACACACAAACACACCCATACCGTGCGCCGCAGCCTCGCGTGGCGGGGTGGGAGAAAAGGCGGCGGCTTCCTTCCGGGCCGGAAGTCGTGCTCCCGAGAAACGCTTCCTTCCCACCGGGGACTCCCACAGAGCGGGTTCGCGGGTGGCCGGGGAAGCTGACAGGTGCAGGAAGGAAGCCGGCACTCTTCTGAGAGAGAAGCCGGACGGCCCCGCTGAGGAGCTTGTCCGGCACCGGAGGAAAGATCCCGGAACTGGATGTAGAGACGCAGCTCTACTTTGCACTCGCCGGACCCAGTTAGATGTTGTACCCGGCCTGGTTACCATGGTAACGGGAGTCGCGGTTTGTCTCCGAACTGAGTGAAGAGGTGGGTTACCCCACTTTTGGATTAACTGTGCGTTCGTTGTTTATTAAATCTAACCTTAATACATGATTTTAAGACTCTAAACCTCTTCTTAAAAATTTTGTGGACCTTCTGGGACACTTCTCCGCTGCGGGAGGAGGGTGATGATGCGATCTTAGGATACTACTCTCACATATTGTTTATAAGTGTTCCAGCTTTAAATATTAGCGTTCTTAATCCTCATCTTCATTTTGAGAAGAATAAGTGTATATATACATTGTTTGCTCAAGGCAACATAGCTGCCTGGAGTTAGAAAGAACTTAAGCATACTGGCTCCAGTGTTCCTACTCCTCTCCCCCACCCCCCGCCCCCGCCCCCGACACACACACACACACACACACACACACACACACACACACACACACACACACACACACACACACACACACACACACACACACACACACACACACACACTGGTTTTTTTGAGACAGGGTCTCAATATGTAACCCTGGTACTCGCTCTGTAGACCAGGATGGCCTCGAACTCACAGAGATCCACCTGCCTCTGTCTCCCCGAGTGCTGGGATTAGAGGTGTGCACACCACTGCCCGGCTCAGTGTTCCTACTGTTAACTGCTATATTGAGAATTAATGTGGCTCTATGTGTTTCTTTCTTTCTCTCCCCATTCACCCCTACACACACACACACACACACACACACACACACACACACACACACACACACCTCACTCTTTCAGGACTGGGAGGCACAAGTCAGCCAATATCCAACTATTTGAACAAGATCACCAAGAAAAACAAGACTTAAAAGGACCTTTCTGCTCCCACTGTGTTTGTGAAGACCAGAGAAAGGGACAGGTACAACGTGGTGGGAATTTAGGAAGTGGTTAGACTTACAGACTGTAGAAGAGTCAAGGTAAAGCAGAGTGGGTGTGCAATCTTTTAGACATAGGAAGTAAGAACAGTTGAGAACTTCCCCAAAACAAATCCAAAAGCCTTCCTCCTTCCTTGAAAGAGGAAGTAAGGCCATAGCCACACAGACACATCTTTTCTCAAGTCATATCTTTCCACAGGTTCTAGAGGCCTATCTCATTACCAATCATGAAGGCATCTTCAAAGGGTCTTCTCACCCAGATTTCTCAGTTCTGGAATATGCTCGATGATTTGGCTGAAAATGATCCTGAGCGCTACAAGAACTTCATTGAGCAGGAGCTGAAAGATGGAAAAGAGCTCTGTGTCGACCCAGAACCACAACTCTGCCTACAGACCAAGATTCTAGTATGTAGAGTTGGTGCAAGGGATGATAGGTACTCAATAAAACTACTCCAGTGTAACTAAAGAATACCTTACCCTTCTCAAGTGCTACTTTAACACAAGAGAAGTTTATTAAAATTGCCTCTCTAAACAGAAAATGAAACAGTGTGGAAGATTTCACTGAAGGAGTAAAAATGAGAAATTCATACTTGGTATTTCAGAAATATCCAAATGAGACCTTCTTGCTCTGTAAGGTAGAAAAATAGTGATATAATGAATTAAGTTTGTAAAAATATTTTTATTACATTTTATGTGTGTGCATGGGTGCTGTGGGATGGTTTGTATGTCAAGTGTGTTGCTGATTGGTCAATAAATAAATCACTGATTGGCCAGTGGCCAGGCAGGAAGTATAGGCGGGACAAGGAAGAGAATAAAGCTGGGAAGTGGAAGGCTGAGTCAGGAGACACTGCCAGCCGCCAAGATGAGAAACAGCATGTGAAGATGCCAGTAAGCCACGAGCCATGTGGCAAGGTATAGATTAATAGAAATGGATTAGTTTAAGATGTAAGAACAGTTAGCAAGAAGCCTGCCACAGCCATACAGTTTGTAAGCAATATAAGTCTCTGTGTTTACTTGGTCAGGTCTGAGCGGCTGTGGGACTGGCAGGTGAGAGAGATTTGTCCTGACTGTGGGCCAGGCAGGAAAACTCTAGCTACACATGGGTTCAAAGAGTGCGTGGGCAAGGGCAGTTGCCTAACATGTGGGAAGGCCTGAAAAAATGTGATGACTTGCATTCAGGATATTATCATCAAATTTCATTTAAAAAAACTGTTTGACAATATCAAAATTATTCACTTTCTAGAAACCAAAAGAAAAAATACTTTTTATCAACCTATGTCAATGGAAAAGGATCCCGGCTCCCCAATCAGCCACTCATCCTGTACCTATATATGTTGGCAGACCAGAAGATTTCTCTGAGGCATCAGGTATAAAGGATTAAAGAAAGTATGTGTGAATTTTTTATTGAACATGTTCATAGACCAGATTTTACTTGGTAAAAATATTCTTTTCTTTCTTTCTTTCTTTCTTTCTTTCTTTCTTTTGTTTTGTTTTTTGGTTTTTTTCAAGACAGGGTTTCTCTGTATAGTTTTGGTGCCTGTCCTGGAACTCGCTCTGTAGACCAGGCTGACCTCAAACTCACAGAGATCCATCTGCCTGCCTCTGCCTCCCAAGTGCTGGGATTAAAAGTGTGTGCCACCACCGCCCGCCCAGATAAAAACATTTTAAGTAAAATATTTCATTTGGTGTTAATATAATTAATGACAAGTTAGTGTACTGCATGCATATTTAATATGATTTCTAATAATATGATCTTTCAACCTACATAGTAATGCCAATATAGAATTGGAATTTAATGTATATTATGTGTTAGAACAGGAACCTGCATTTATATATCCTACAGCGCAAATCAGGCTATGCCTCCCACAGCTCTCTCTGATACAGAGTTAAGAATCAGTCTTTGGAGCTAGGCAGTGGTGACTCATGCCTTTTAATCCCAGCACTGGGGAGGCAGAGGCAGGAGGATCTCTGCGAGTTCGAGGCCAGCCTGGTCTACAGAGCGAGTTTCAGGACAGGCACCAAAACTACACAGAGAAACCCTATCTCAAAAAAAAATATCAATCTTTGGGAGCTGGAGAGATGGCTGAGCAATTAAAAGCACTGGCTGCACTTTCAGAGGACCCATGGTTCAATTCCCAGCACCCACAGAGCAGCTCACAACTGTCTGTAACTCCAGTTCCTGGGGATCTGACACCTTCACACAGACATACATGCAGGCAAAACACCTGCAGCACGAATCTTCAAAGTTCTTATTAATAAAAACAAACCTGAGCCAGGTATTGGGGTGAACACTGAATGATCAGAGAGACAGAACCAGCCACAGCTACCTCACCTTGCCAATTCCTCAGCTGATCCTGTTTCCTCAGACTGGAAGCCTCTGAATCCTCATCCAGAATGAATCTCAGCTGAACTGCTGCTCAAAAGCCTAAAAGCTTAACCAGCCTCTAGCTATCTCGTCCTCACACCTTAAATACCTTTCTGCTTCCTGCCATCACTTCCTGGGATTAAGGGCTCACTTCCTGGGGTTAAAGGTGTGAGTGACCATGCCTGGCTGTTTCCAGTGTGGCTTTAAACTCACAAAGATCCAGATGGATCTATGCCTCCCAAGTGAGAGGATTAAAGGTGTGTGTGCCACCATTTTCTGGCCTCTATGTCTAGTGGCTGTTCTGTTCTCTGACCCCAGATAAGTTTATTAGGGTGCACAATATTTTGGGGAACACAATATCACCACAAACACCAATGCACATAAAAAGAAATAAAAATACTCAGTCTGTTCTGTGACTTGACAGCTTTCAATTCATGATCACCTGGCTCTTCCATGATGTCATGTACTGAAGTACATTATGTGAATATGTACTGAAGTAAATTATGTGATGTGAAACTTAATAGGGTTTCTGCCCCCCCCCCCCATAATAGGTTTCTCCACTGACACAGTAAGCCAGATCAAGCCGAATCAAAAAAGTATAACAGGTTTATTTAAGCAAAGCAACTCCCAGGGGAGTTCTCCAGTCCCAGAGATCGAGGCTAGAGAAGCTTCACAAACAAAAGCAGGGAGAGTTTATAGGTTGTAGGCAAGGGGTGATGATGTGTCCACCACAAGCTGGGTTGTGCCCAAGTGTGGTCAAAAGCTGAGCGCTTTAGGTGGGGACTTGGGCAGCTGGCAACTTCAGGGGAGGAAGCTGCAGTAGCCGCCAAGAATGCAGAACTGGGCTTGTTGGTGCCTTCTGTTTAGAGACTCTCTGAATGGGCAGGGTTGGGAGGGAGGGAGGAAGGGAGGGAGGGAGAGAGAGAGAGAGAGAGAGAGAGAGAGAGAGAGAGAGAGAGAGAGAGAGAGAGAGAGAGAGAGAGAATGGGGTTTCCCAGATCATGCAGGGGTGAGCTGCAGGTTCCAGCTGAACATTACTGTCACTGTTAAAAGATCATAAAAAGTCAGCTTTTTCTTTTGTTCTTTGGATTGGTCCTCAGGGGATTCTGCTCATGGAAGTGTCCTGCAGCTGTTCTCTGAAGAACCCCTTATCCTGTCCCCATCTCTCTTATGGCAGCTAGCCTTCTCTCCCACACTACCTCTCATTCTCACTCTGTGAAGCTCCTCTCCAAGTTTTAAAGGGAAGTCAGTAGTTCCCTTTAAGGCTCCATTGGGCTTAGATCTCCATCTACTGCGGTGTTCTTGTCTAAGGCTTTTCCTCTCATCTCACTTCAAAGCCCTTTCTCTAATAAACTATTTCTTCTGCAGGTAATTTTGTGTCAGCTTCCTTTCAGGACCAGCCACTGCTGGTTTAGCATAGTGCTGCTGTGATTGCTCTAAAAACACAGGGATGGGATTTGTGGTTTCTAACTTTCTAATGTGGGTTAGTATACTGCCTGACAAGAATCCTTATAGAAACAAGCTCTCTTCTGAATTCCACACAGGTTCCTATACAGTCATTGATGTTGCCTACAACCCTGGTGTTCTGCAAGCAGCAGAGAAAGACCAAGGGATCAAAGATCAGTTAATAAAAATGGCCATTCATTGCATTGAGGAGCGACTCCACTTCACACTCGCACATTCATACCGTGTTACTAGCTTTAAAATAAAAGGAAACATTCAGAGAATGAAAGAAAATCTGATGGGCATTAAAACTGACTTCACAGGCTTCAAAGAGATAATGAGAACTGGTAAGTGGATGAATGTAAACTGAAAAGAAGCTGATGTCAGATTTTGCTTTTGTAACCTGTGTATATTTTTCAAAGCAGAAGTCTCTATCTTAAAAGAATGAGAAACTTAAAGAGAGAAAAATATACATTATTAGAAATGTCAGTAGCCAGAAAGATGTCAAAATCTTTCAGAATTCCCAAGCAAATTATTTGGCTTGAGGTTCTGGGTGTTTTGGGTCTGTTTAACTTCACCAGAGTCAAATCCAGCCAGAGCCTCACATGCTAGGCAACTTTCACTGAGCTGCACGCCCAGCTCTGCTTCAGATGCTTAGAACTACATTTCTAAGCTAATTCCTTTTTTTTTTTTTTTTAGTTTCTCCAGACAGGGTTTCTCTGTGTACCCACCATGGCTGTCCTGGAACTTGCTGTGTAGACCAGGCTGGCCTCGAGCTCACGGAGATCCACCTGCCTCTGCCTCCCAAGTGCTGGGATTACAAGCGTACACTACCACCACCTGGCTCTAAACTAATTCAGTGGCAGCTTCAGCAAATGTCTGTAAACACCACCTATCTTAATGCTCACAACCTGATAGTATGTTGTGATTCCCCTCCCTTTTTTTTTTCTTTCATAAAGAAGATACTCTTGAAAAGATCAGGAGCAGTGCTGAGAGTGAACCAAATCACCTTCCTCAGGTGCTGCTGACAAAAAAACCAGCATCGGGCAAAGGACGGTGTCTTATAGAGGAGATTTCAAGTTCTGAAATCCAGGTGGAGGTTAAGAAACCAGCCTATGAATTAAAGGTTGTAAAGGATCAGAATGAGAAACCTCTGAAAATTGAACTGAAAATCCAGTTACCTGGGATTAACTCAGTCTCCCTCTGTGAGCTTAGTGTTTCTGAGGTAAGTTAAGCAGATCCTGTGGTAGTCCTGTGGTGTTGCTGGGGGATTGTTTTCAGGAACTCCTGAAGATAAGAAGATCCTCTGATGACCAGTTTTTTATTGTTTGCAAGTAACATTTGCACCTCCTCCATGTGCTTGAGGATACTCCTGCCATTGAATAACATGTAAGTGCTGTGTAAATTTGATTGTGCATCAGCTTTGCACAACTATAACAAACACGTGAGATAACTTTAAAGAAAATATTTGCTAGGGAGGGTCATGATCTTCCAGCCTTGTTTAGGTGGCTGTGTCGGAAGTATCAAGCAGATTGGGACAGGAAATCATGACAAAGCAAGGCCAGGAGATAAAGGAAAGGTCCCGGGTCCCACAATCCAATACCCTGAATGACCCAAGGACTTCGCACTAAGTCTCGCCTCCTAAAGGCCCCAGCACCTCCCAATAGCACGTCTATAGTGGGGAAACCCTCGGAGCTTTGGGGGGCAGTTAAGATCCAACTATAACCAGGCATGATGGTGCGTTTAATCCCAGCATTTAGGAGGCAGAGGTAGGCAGATCACTGTGATTTTGAGGCCAGCCTGGCCTACATAGTAAGTTCCAGGACAGATAGGGCTATGTAGAGAGACCCTATCTCAAACAAACAGACAAAAAACCAGATCCGAACGATGCCAAGCTCTTTGTACCAGTTACAGAATGATGGGAAGAAAAAATATCTGCTGCATGTTCAGTGTAGATGCAATCACTATAGGCCTAACTGCTTTTCCAGTACAAGGTAGGCTGCATCCGCAGATGTAGAACCTTCAGACGGAGGGTCGATTGTACAGTAAATTTGTATCTATAGTATGCTGCACTAGGAACAAACTCCTAAGTTTCAGAAGCTTACAGTAATTTTCTCAGGCTGCATATTAACTAGGCCTGCTGCGCCCCATTAACTGTACATTCTGAGACTTGAAATATGCCGTTTTCATGGTGGGGGGCCACAGAAATAGTTGCCCAAAGTAATAGACCTAAAACTTCCATGTATATAGAGCATGTATCTCTTCTACTTGCACCCCATCAGCCCAAGTACATCACAGGGCAAAAACATCAGTAGGTCTGGGAATCACAAAAAGTGATATATTTATTGCAGAGATGTATAAGATGATCTTACCTTACAGAAGAGGAGCAAATAATTGGGATGTCCTGTAGTCCTGGCAGAGACAATTTGCTTCATTCCTCGAGGAAAACAACCCTAATCACAATCTGTTCTCTCTCTGTTCTCTGTCTCTGTCTATCTCTAGTTTTTCAAGACAGGGTTTCTCTGTGTAGCCCTGGTTGTACTGGAACTCGTTCTGTGGACCAGGCTGGCCTTGAACTCAGAGACTGCCTGCCTCTGCCTCCCGAGTGCTGGGATTAAAGGCATGTGCCACCACTGCCTGGTCTGTGTTCTCCTTTTAAACCAGACCAATGACATGTCAAGTTAAGTAATCTATTGTGAACCCCGTCCACCATATGGTGAGAGATAGAAAAGTCTCACCTCAGAAGTGACCCCAAAAGTCTAGTTACTGGGGAGCAGCAATCCCGGAATTCTAGCAAGCAAATCCTGTGAAAGGCCCTACATGGAGGTGGAGGATGTTCTTGTTTAGATGCCTTGAGAACGTCCTTTGACTACCTACCTTCCTACTCCATTGTTTGACCAATATTCAGCTCCATCTGGGGGAAGTTTTTCCTGTTTCAGCATCCACACTGGTCATATATATAAAAGGAATATGACAGAATATGTCATTCTTGAGTGTTTAGTGCTCTGTGAGTTACCTGCTTATGGAATGCCGAGGGCCAGGATGCTTTAGAATTTGAAGACAGTTCCTTTTAGCCCATTGTAACTGGTTCTCTGATTGTAGTCATTGCTCTGACCACAATTCTTTCCCAAGACTAGCATCTCTAAACTTCATTTATTTATTACTTGTTTATTTTGGTTTTTGGAGACAAGGCTTCTCTGTGTAGCTTTGGAGCCTGTCTGGAACTCTCTCTGTAGACCAGGATGGTGTTGAACTCACAGAGATCAGCCTGCCTCTGCCTCCCAAGTGCTGGGATTAAAGGCGTGCGCCACCACCACCCAACTTAAATTTTATTTTTTATTTTTAAATTAATTTTTAGGCTAATGCATACAATAACATGTTCCATCGTGGCGCCTTCATATCTTTAAACTGAATTGCTGCCATCTTAGCCAAATGTAAGGATTGACTGACATCTGCCTTAACCCACTCAGAGGCTTTAAACAAATGACACTTAACCTTTGTCTCAATCAGCCATTATAGCTAATGACCATTTCTTAATTTTACTTTTCTGAATTAATTCCATTTTTTGAGGCTGCATATAAACTAGTTGTCTGCACCCACTCCCTCTTTGTAATACCTTATGAAATGTACCCAATAAGAAGCACACGTTAATAATATTGTTTCCCACTACTAAAGGCACAGATCAGCTGGGTACTTTATTTGCCTTCAGAATTAGTGGGCTAGCTTCCCTAAGGGCATTGTCACTATGAAGCATGGATCACTATCTCTCAGGCCCCAGGACATGCCCTCGCCATCTGATGGTAAATCCGAAGACAGCAACACAATGTTCCGATGGCAACACTCTACTTCTGGTGCTGTTACCAGTTAACATGTGATGTGTCCTGTTAGTAATCAGAGGCTCAAGAATCCACAATGTTATTGCTTGCTGCAAGTCCTATGGCAGGAACTAGGTCTTCACCGGTGAATGTCGTAGTCTCTGGGCATCACTTTTAGGATGCAGTTTTCTCTTGTCATGATTCTAATTTGTCATGATTTTAATTTGTAGGTTGACTTATTGATTGAGGTCTCTGAGAAGTACCGATTATACCTGAATCTTCCGGAATCGGTTAATACAGAAACGACTACGGCAAAATTTGTCAAAAATAAATCCGTACTATTTATTACAATGCCACTGGCATGAGAACAGAGTGTTCCGTGTTTTCACTGCTGCAGCTCATGTCAGTTACAGGACCTACGCTGTGGGCAGGGGTCGTGGGACTTTGTTTTTGTTGTTGTTTGAGACAGGGTCTCACCTGGTATAGCCCTAGCTAGCCTGGAACTTGCTATGTAGATCAGGCTAGTCTCAAACTCAGAGGTCTGCCTGCCTCTGCCTCCTGATTTTAAAGGCATGTATGTGCCACCACACCTAGCAATATATATTTTTATCTTAGGGAAAGGATCACATGTAGCCCTAGGTCACATGGCTTAACCTTGCTACATACCCCAGGATGATCTCGAATTTCTGATCCTTCTGTCTACAATGCCCAAATGCTGAGATTACAGTGATATGTCTAATTTCATTTACTTTTCTCAAACTTTGTGGGGCTAGAGAGATGGGTAAGAGTGAAGACTGTTGTAGAGGACCTGGGTTTGGTTCTCAGGACCCATGATGGGTGGCTCACAACTGCCTGTAAGTCCAGGTCCAGGGGGATCTGACACACTGTTCTGGCACATGTCCTTAACTGCACATACCCACACACAGACACAAACATATACATACAACTTAAAATAGAAAATAAAACATCTTGAAATAAAAATCACAGAACTTTGCATCAACCAGAAATTTCAAAACACTATAACCACAAGATGATGGTTTTAAAGATGTTTATAGCTATCTCAAGTAATTTAAAATGTCATTTGGGAAAATTCCAATTGTTTACAAATGTCTTGGGGTCTCTAATGGTGTGATAAAACATGACCAAAAGCAATTTGGGGAGGAAAGGGTTTATTTCAGCTTACAGTTCGACCACATCATCAATGGAAGTCAGCACAGGAACTCAAGCAGGGCTGGAGCCTGGAAGCAGGAGCTGATGCAGAGGCCAAGAACTGACCATTAGCTTGATGCACCAGGTTTACTCAGCCTGCTTATGCAACCTGTAACTGCCTGCCCAGGGATGACACTACCTACAACAGGCCGGGCCCTCCCACATCAATCACTAATTAAGAAAATGCACCAGGCTTGCCTTCAGGCCTATCTGATGGAGGCATATTTTTCAACTGGTAGCCTCTCTTCCCAAAAGATTCTAGCTTGTTTTAAGTTGACATAAAACTGGTTACAGCTACCATCTCAAGTATCACGTGAGAACTGTTGGTTTATCAGGAAAAAAAAAAAAGATTTTTGCATCAGGAAAAACAAAAACAAACCCACTCAGACTCCAAACAGAATCAACAGGATCAGCTGTGGCAGTGAAGGGGTCTTCCAGAAACATACAGGGCCAAATATAGTAATATCCATGGCTATGCCTCTAAGAACTTCTGTAAGTCAATAAAACAGGCTTTTCAAATGGCCAGCTAGACTTCTGCCAGACATGGACTTGTCTGGGCTAGACAGAATACTTGGAGGACATTGCACACCATAGGAAAAATACATGCAGCTCTAATTTGAGAAAAAGTTGACTCAGCCCAAGTACTTTATTCTATAGAAAAGAAGCAACATCTTTTTTTTTTTCCTGGAACAGGGTCTCTGTGTAATATTGGCTGTCTATAGACTAGGCTGGCCTCAAACTCACATAGATTCACCTGCCTCTGCCTCCTGAGTGCTGGGACTAAAGGGCATGTGCCACCACCAGCCAAGTGGCATTTTTCATTTTTGTTTCTAAGCTGTCAAAAAAGTACCAACTACCCAATTTGTTTGCAAATACAGCAACAGGCAGATCAAACTTCATTTATTATTTTATGTTTATAAGTACTCTATTGATTTTATGCCAGAAGAGGATACCAGATCTCATTATAGATGGTTGTGAGTCACCATGTGGCTGCCGGGAACTGAACTCAGGACCTCTGGAAGAGCAGTCAGTGCTCATCAACCTCTGAGCCATCTCTCCAGCCCTGAGGGCAGATCAAACTTTAAACATCATTTGCTTTTCAAGGTTGAACCCAGATCTCACAAACGCTGGTCAAGATTCTACCAACTGAGCTGCCTCATAACCCTGTTATGTGACATTAAGAAAGCAAATATGTGGTGGCGCACACCTCTAATTCCAGCACTCGGGAGACAGAGGCAGGCAGATCTCTGTGAGTTCAAGGCCAGCCTGGTCTACAGAGAGAGTTCCAGGACATCTAGGTAATGAGATTAAATTGCTAACAATCTATGGAAATAGCTTAATGATTATAGGAATTTGGGGGGGGGGGTTGTTAACTCATAATACAAGAAACTCACAATACAGGAAATCAGGATTATAACAGGGTCCTGGAAAGGTGAGGCACAGTCCAGCACTGTTCTCCAGAGAGCTCTGCCTTGATCCGTAGCACCAGCATCCAAGACCACGAGGTATCGAAGAGAATAGAGTGCACGTGCATGCATCCCAGGTCTTAAAGGTCCCTGTCCGGGCTATGCCTAAGGGGCAACTATCTAGCAGCTACCTACTGCCTCACTGGGGCGGTGCTTCAGGGTACGGCACAGACAACCACCCATTACAGCTAGGGCTGTTACAAAGAGAAACCCTGTCTCAAAAAAACCAAAAGACCAAAAAAAAAAAAAAAAGCAAATATAATTTTCTGGAATATGACTTTCACTAGAATATGACTTTCTTCAGAATTTCTGATATTCTAAAAATAATAGTTAATAAATTAATATCCTCACCCTCCAATACACTTGAAAAGCCTTCATTGATACAGCCATGTTTCCTAGAAAATGCCTCTACCTGGGACTGGAGAGATGGCTTGGGGGTTAAGAGCACTGACTCCTCTTCCAGAGGACCTGTGCTCAATTCCCAGCATCCACATAACTGCTGATCAGTCTATAACTCATCACAGAGGATCGATCGATCCATCGCCCTCTTCTGGTCTCCAAGGACACTGCAAGCATGTGCTAAACAAAGCATGCAGGCAAAATTCATCGGATAAAAAATGATTCCTAAAAGTATATGGTATCACTCAATTGGTTAGGAAAGAAAATGCCCCTACCCAATCACATGACTAATTTTGACTCTCTACCTTCTTAGAAATATTTCTACATTTATTTATTGTGTGTACATGCACACACATGCTATGGCACACATAGGGAGATCAGAGAACTTGCAGTTCAATTTCTCCTATAATGTGGGTCTCAGGGATCAAGTCCCCAGGTTTGGTCAATGCTGCAAGCCGCAGAAACATGAAGGAGGAATTCATCTGACTATGGAAAAGCTACTACCTGGAAGAGTTAAGAACTCTTCCAGAGGATAAAGCCAAGCCTCAAGGAAGTATTGGTGATACTGGCTCTTGAATTCAGCTGTGTCCTGCAATGAATTTCTTATGAGCTATTGTAGCTTTCCCATTTTATTCTTTTCCCAAGAACTTCTAACTGTGTGGTTGATCATTCACTGGGCACAACTTCCCCTATACATTAGAGGTATTTGGATAACATCTCCCAACTGTTAACAGCTATCACACAGCCGAGACCCCTAATTTCAGGCCTTTCTGTAATTATCATTAGCAACATCTGGCCAGGACCATCTCTGGATGAAAGTATTTTATCTGATATACTTCTCAGACCTTCTAAGAATGGACTGCAGATAGATAAGCATCCAGACTATCTGTTAGAAAAGACCAGATGGATGTGCTAATTAAGCTTAACCCTCCTTCTTCCAAGTGCTGTTTCTAGTTCTATATCTCCCTTTAACAACAAACTCAGAACTAAAAGGGCTTTTACATATCAGGTACATCAAGCTGTGACACAGGTTGCCTAGCTACGGAGCACACTTCCCCCCGCCCTGCCAGAAAACGGGCAGCTGAGTTAAGTGACAGATACGGTTCCAAAGGGAAAAAAGGGCAGTTTTATTTTCACCCGTAACTTAGTGACTTATAGGTTCTTAATATTTTTTACCTAACCACTTCTAAGTATATGGTTTAAGCACATAAATTCCCTTTTTCGATCTATTAACTGAATTTAGTCCCTAGTTGATTCATTCCCTGTTAGTCACTTCCCTTTGGGGTTGCTAATAATAGCTGACAATTACTGCTCTCTGTGTGGATCTTATCACCCCTGCTTTTGACCCTCAAAGAATTCAAACCTGGTAACCTTGCCTTGGCCAGAGTATTGCTGACTGCATGGGTGTATAACTGAAAACCTCAGAGAACTAGGGGAGAACTATGATGGGGTAGAACTAAGATGGGAAGAAACAGATGGGAAAGAATGAGATGGGAGAGTTAAGATAGAACTTAGAACAGCAGAAAAGTGTAGAGAGAATCAGGCAGAAAAGGAGCTAAGTATGAGAGCAGAAAAGCAGCTGTGTAGAAAGACAACTGACTCAGAAGAATAAAGTGAATGGACTAAAGAGTTTCGTGTACATAGATTCATTTGACATCATTAAGATTAGATTCCTCAGCTGGTAGTAGATTCTTCCATAAACCCTGGGAAAAGGTTATGAAGGGGCTGGACCCTAACAGTCTTTGTTAGGACACAAACACCTTATCCGCTGAGCCATCTCGCCAGCCCTGCATCTCTACTTTTGTCCCCAACACATAGGTGCTACTTGTTACTTTGTGTTTGTACTCACGATGTGCAAACCTGACAACCTAAATTCAATCCCTGTAACTCATGGAGGGAAACTGGTTCCCTAAATTGTCCTATGACCTCCTCATGAACATGCACACTAAAAAGCCCAGTGTATTAAATTGCTATTCAAACTAATTTCTAAAATATCCTACTTGTGTATTTCAATGAATTTTATGTTAATAAAACCACTCTCCCCCCTCCTTCTATAAGTGAAATAATGTTCAGGAAGGGCATTAATAATGAAATGTACAAAGTTTAAACATGTAGGTTTTTTACATGTCATTGTATTGCCCATATGTATATATGTGTACACATGCATGTCTGGTGCTGGAAGGTAGCTTCAGATTCCCTGGAACTGGAGTTACAAAAGGTTGTGAGCTGCCATGTGGGTATTGGGAACCAATCCAGGCCTCTACAAGAGCAGCAAGTACTTAACCATTGAGCCCTCTCTTCAGCTCCTCAT